CTGAATTTAAGCTGGATCCGCCCCTGCAACCCTGGCTAAAACCCGCAGTTTATCCATGTATAAAATCGGTTCATTTTCCAGTTAAATTAATTGGAAAGACAGTGGAAATTAGTTCAAGTTTTCGGTGAATTTTTCCTCGACTGGCGTCTCAGGAATAAAATCTTCCGAAAAATCACAATGGGCCTCAATTCCACAAGAGAAATAATCTAGCTTTTCCTCTTTCTGTTTCATTCGCTGTGGCTTTTTCTTTGATGTTTTTGTTAAGGAATACATAGTTTCGATTGCTTGTTGCTAAACATTCATCATCTGCAGATAAGCAGAAGAAACTCATAAATAAATCTAAAAATACCACCAACAACCACCAGAATTTTAAAGCTGCATATGAAACGACAATATTCTAAAGCATATCATAAGTGTATACAAAATTTTGAAGAAACCATACATCCAAGTTTGATACCAGGCATTTTAACCTAAGCCATAGGATAGTTTACCCTTGATCCATCCAAATGGACAATGCGGGACTGACAGTGGACATCCCATTGATAATAACAGCTGCTATGGAGAAACAGCGCAAAAAAAGCGACAGAAAGCGCAAAAAAAGCGCAATTTCGACCGAGAAAAAGACCTCGACCGAGAAAAAGACCTCGACCGAAGAGGAGCATCGGGCGATCACTTGCGCTAGTCTGAGCGACGATTTGAGCCGGTTAGCGAAAGTTAGCGATCATCGAAAAAAGAGCGTCGTGGGTGGAAGTTTAAAGTACGAAATCGGCCGAGAACGACCCTCCATTATCGGATTTCCATTGAAATGTAGTTCGGTGCGAATCAAAGGTACGGGACATGAAGAAACGACTTTGGTCAAAGTGGAACCATGCAATGGAATGCCAATGAGGGTTGAATACGACAAATTGATCAGTCCAACCCATGGAACTGCAGTCAACATGAAGGATAATTTGGGGAGTGTAAGTTTCGAGCAGTTCAAAAGTGTGACGTGGTTTTTTGATTTAGAATTGTATTTTTTTACATAAACAATATACGGAATATTCTATCAAACGCCGTCAAACTTTCAGAACAGAATATTCGCGAAATAAGCCGGCAAATATAGAAATAATGTTTTTTGAAGATGATTCTTAAACTTTCTTCTTTTCTGTTCATAACTTTCTGCATCTTTTTTAGGTGCGTTGAATGTTCGGGACCAACATTTAAAAAAATTCGTCTGTTTTTCTTTACTTTTCTTACATTAATTGCTGCAAAACTGTAGTTTTTAGGCGATTTACACCGTTTTTCTCGACATTTGCTTGCATCGCCAGTGTGTTTGTTTCCAGTAAACAAGCATCTAGATAGAATCCTATTTAGACTATTGTTTTCGCAGATTACCCGAAAACATTCGCAAATTTAACTCGATTACTTCCAAGCAATTGGAACATCGATCGTTTCAACGGGCTGATAAAACCGCCACAACATTCCTGAAACTTTGTTATTAAATAACGAGATGAAGAGCGGGAATATAAATTACATGAATTTCCTCCAAAAACAATTTCTGCTTATAAAACATCCACAAAAGGAAAATGTAATGGAATTAGACCCAAGATATCCAAGCCTGTTTTTCTTGGAATATTTTTCTGAGAAACTGAAATTGGCCACCGAGATGAGAGTAAAACTTAAGACAATATTTCCGAAATTAAAGCATCCAATTTACACTTTCTGTCGGTTCCAGGTGCTGTCTTTGGGAGCGCGAGTTCTACCCGAATATGCGCTACAAAAGCCCCAAGTTAACAACTACACCATTCTTCACTATTCACCATTCAAGGCGGTCTGGGATTGGATTATACTGATCCTTGTCATGTATACGGCCATCTTCACTCCGTATGTGGCCGCTTTCCTTCTGGGCGAACCCGATTTTAACAACAGGAAGAACAAGAAGTACGGCGAAGATCCCATAGTGATAATCGATTTAATTGGTAAGTTTGCACTTTTTTGGCCACTGGTACCGATCGCTTTCGGCTCTTATTATTTGTATTTAGCGCCAATCTAGTTCTTAAAGTAATTAATCCAAGGGCGGGTTTGAGTGAAACGCTTTGTGTTATTTGATGAACAAGTCGATAGTATTGCCAATTGCGTTCTTGGAGGTTTATTTCGGGCTTTAGGCGATTAATTGGGAAATTATGCAGCGCGAGCTCAAAGCGTAATAGAGCTGAATTGGCTCGAAAATCTTAGGATATTTGTATTTATGGTTATTTGATGTTAAAGCCACATAGGAAATATCACGGGTGTTTGAAGTTTGAAGCGCAAAAGCTGTATAAAGCTTGTGTATGTATGCATAAAGAAAATGTTTCGAAAATAATCAGCTAATTTCCCTGGAAATATTAAATAAGAAAAAAATCTGGACGTTTGAAGAACAATGAATCTTTCGGAATCGTCAGGTGTCTTTGATAGAAGCAAGTACAGATCTGGATATGTGCTAGTGTTAGGCACCCCCAGGCAGTTTCGAATCTCTAAACTCTCATCAGGTGGATTTAGCCTGAAGCCTGTACTTCTATTACGCCCGTATTTTGTATGGCGTTATGGATTTTAATGAAAATTTGGAGATTTTCATCCTTATGCTACTTCTTCGTGAAATTTCTTGGTTTGTTGCAATTTGCTTGAAAATTTGAGGATTTTGAGACTCGTGTGTTCTATAGACTGCGAATTTMAAACKTAYACTRGATTTTACTGTAAATTTTAAATTTGGGTTTTTTGCGGAAAGGGTTCAGTTTCACAAAAACACTCATCAGTTCCGGCCATTTTCACGAGACTAAATTCAGAAATTTGAGACTCGCGTCTGCTCTATATATTTTAACAATTGCAAGATTAAACTTGATTTGGGTTAGAAAATGGGTTTTTTAAAGGAGAGTGTGCAGTTTCGTACACTCATGTTCACATTTGTATAAGTTTGCACTCGGACTACACAGTCAAGTACTGAAAGGAAAGCAGTTTTGATAAAACCTTCAGACACGCTGCTGTGTATTTGGSGTTGTGGTACCAAWCCTTTTTTCCTATTGGATGGTGACGGTTCTTAATAGCCCGGASACATATGGAGTTTTGCATTCTTATTGTTTTGTTTTTCGATGATTATCTTCAAATCATTTGACCTGACAAAGTTCAGAAATTTGTATTGAGTTTTGTATCACAATTGTTCTCTATTCGCGGTGAGAAATTAAAGCACTGCTTTTTAAGTCAGAAGTTATGAATTTTTAATCGAAACATGGATTTTTCACCTTTTTCAGTTTTAATTTTTTCACAAAAATTTTCAAAATTCAAGATTCGGTGCAAATTAACTGTAATTTTGAGAGTTTTGCTCAAAAATTCTCATTTACCCATCTGATTGAATCATGTAAATCCTCCTCTTCTTATTAAACGAAAAATTATTAAAAATGAACGCTAACAAGCCGGGTGCCTAACTAATGACCATACAGGCCATGTAATATGAAATCTAATTAAACCGTTAAGCCCCATAACGACCATTTTACTTTAACAAAGGCGATTTAATATTGACGACTTCAAACAGGTTATTACGTGACTTTAAATTAGCTGATTAGCATTGGCACAAAAGATGCCGCTTTGTAAGCTGATGCTCAAGATCTTTTAGCTCGATTAATTCGCTGATGTCGATTTGAATTTTTCTTTCAGTGGACGTCACCTTCATCATAGACATTCTGATCAACTTCCGCACCACCTACGTTTCGGGTAACGATGAAATCGTCTCAGATCCCGGAAAAATCGCAGTCCATTACCTGAAAGGATGGTTCCTCATCGACTTGGTGGCTGCGGTTCCTTTCGATTTATTATTTTTTGGTACCGACACTGACGAGGTAGGTTTTCCTCACTCATTCAGTGTGTTGCATAGTGTTTAGGATAGGAGTAAAGTTATCGTTTGCGATGTGTTCCGTTAACGTCTTCCTTAAGGTGGAAGGTTGACTTTGAAATAATTTTCCACCTAACAGTCAATCTTCTACGGTATGTTATAATCTCTCTAATGATTTTTTTCTGTTTGCATATCATCGATATCAAATGGTTGTTTAAGGATGCCAAAGTGCCAATCAGACAAAAATTTCTTAAAATTGCACTTCGGTTGCATTCACAACTGAAGAATGATTCTTAAATGGCCGTTTTATCAACGTTTATTCCCTTTTCCTTAGGTTAAACGAACATAAATGTTGCATTTTTGAGGAAATCTGGAATGGTTGTTGCAAGACAATAAATGTTTGATGTTAGTACTTGTCCTTTTAGTTTTATAGAGAACATTTCATAACTTCCCCATTCCTTTAATGATTTGAAATATTTTCGAAATCGGCGTAAAGAACATTGAAAAATTCCTCAGTTTTGGCGAAACAAGAGCTTTTAAATCGCAGGTTTATATTTTCTCTATAAATTGAAACTGTACTTTTTTTCACTGTTTTTTGCATCCACAAAATTTTGAAATATAGTCTCGATCTTCCTCTTCGATACAAAATCAGATATTTCTTCATATAAAAATTGTGCCAAGTCCTTTTCTATCGATTTTTCATTTTGTTCTGCCGCTCAGTGGTGAACCGGAAGCATGTTGTTCGCAGTAATCGTCTCAAAATCACATAATTAATTCTAAATAAAAAATTAGTAACATTATATAAAAGTTGTGCCGACCTCTCCGGGCACGGCACTGTTCAAAATGCAGCAAAATAATATTAACTAAAGAATGTTGAAGTTATTTTGCTCCTCCAGTCCTACAGTGCCGAAAAGGTTCAGCACAACTTTCGCATTAAATTGTCTTTAAATTGCTGAATTCTCGATATAAAATCAGTGACCTTTTGGTGCAAAAGCCCCACGGGTACGACACTGGTTGAAATACAACGATATGCTATTAACTCATAAGTTTTGCGTTATTCTGCTCTTCTAGTGCCGTTCCCGAAAGCTTGGGCACAACTTAAATCGACTTTAAATTGCTTAACTTTCAGTATAACATTAGCAAAAATATTGATGTAAACGGGGCACTATTAACTAACTTTTGCCTATTGCAGTGGTGTACGTGAAGGGTTTGGCACAATTTACGAATCAATTTTTCTAAAATCAAATTGTGTTTTTAAACAGGATCTTTGTAAAATCTTTTACAGACTTTACCGCCTTACCTTTAGGCAAAACTGAAAAAGTTAAACATTTAAAAGTGTTGAGTCCTCAATTGCCTCAATTCAATGTTGCCAACACTCACTTATTGCATCGACGTAACTTCTAAAATTCGTAAATATTGCAAAGAACATAAACGTAGCATAAAGCTCCGAATTTTTCTAAAACTGATCACTTCTCAAAGAATTCAATTTCCTATTGATTTCGCTTTTTCCCATTTTTCAGTTTCGCTTTACTCCATCATTCCCGTCGCTTCGAATATGTACGTGCATTTAGAAGCATCCCCATTCATTACAACGTGAATCCCTACTACTCAATTATTTTTGTGAATCGACTATTTTTTAAATCGATCTTTTTCCAATTCTTTTCTATAGTTGGGCTTGGATAAGGATGAGGTAGAGAGACATAGTTTGAACCGCTTCCAGTTTACATTCACTTTTAGCTGCCTGTGTGAATCATTGCCGTTCTCTTAAAATGTTTCACTTTCTCCTACATTTTCGTACAAATCAATATAATAAAAAAACATAATTTAAGAGAATATGATTCGCATTGATTTCAATTCACACAAATCACCACAGCATAACCTTTGCTAACATTTTCACATTCTTCTGTCCACTTAAGCTTGAACTGTTTCGTTCGTGGTACGTTGCACGCTTTATTTCGTATCTGCTTTCTTGTACTTTTGTGATTGACTAATTTCAGTTTGTTTGATGCGTTTTAAGCTTCCCGTTTTAATGAGCGGATTGAGATCGCCTCTATGCTCGATGCGGCACCCCAAGAAAATTTCAATCTTGCTCATTATTTATTGAATGGCCATGAACGTGCTTTGGAAATATTTTACTTTGAGGCTCTAAGCAACGTATTTTCAATGCAACGCTTTTTAGAGGTTTCAGTATTTTACCACCACATACTATCTACTGTACAACTCGATACGTAATTTAAGTAATGGATCTCACAATGATTATAATAGAGAAACCGGTTTCTTTTCAAAACCATTTTTAATTTCCTGAACAATTCGCTTACTAGGTTTAGTCGAATTTATTATTATGATTTTAATTTATTTTATTTTCTCTCCCAGGGATTAGTTAATGGTCAGAATAAACAGGTAATAAAACCCATGAATGTTTGTCCATAAATATTGTGTCCTAACCGAGAAATGCCTTGTAAATAATAGCATGGATTTGCTGAGCTTTCATTCAATTCAAACAAGTTTAGAGGGAAAACTAGAAAAGATGCACTTTGCAAATATTGACCGCTTAGATAAAGAAATATTGACCCTCAGAACCGGTTTCGAATCTACTAGCTCTCATCATTGCCTGAAAACAACACTCCAAAAAACTATGGTTGATTTCGTATGGGCGAAATTAAGCACAGTTTTTTGGAGTGTTGTTTTCAGGCAATGATGAGAGCTAGTAGATTCGAAACCGGTGCTGAGGGTGTCTGAGATTAGCGCATCTCAAAATCTGCTGAAATTTTCAACGGTGTGACCTTTAAATCGGGCACCTTGCGTCAGCTAAGCGTCCAAAATTTCAAATATTTACCTTTCAACTTCTCTATACAGGGAGTCTGTACAAAATCCTACCACAGATTCCTCGAAGGAAAACATGATAATTTAACATAATTTCCTTAATGCAAAAGTGGATGGTCTTCGAAATACAGGGAGGGCTTTAAAGTGTTTTTTTTTCAATCTTAACTTCGACTAATTATGGATTTGGAAAACCGTCCACTTTTGCATTATCCAAATTAGGTTAAACCATCATGTTTTCACCTCAGGAATCTGCGGTAGGATTATGTACAAACACCCCTGTACATCGATCGAGCCAAATTATTACAAAATTTCCTGGTTAGATTCCAAAAAATCGGCGCTGGAAAAGTGTTCTGCTTGGAAAATTCACTCTGAATTCTGAACATTCTGACTCTGGAATACTAAACACATTCTTTTATACTTTGGCGCCGCTCTTACAGGGTGTCTCAGCAACAGCAAATTATCACGTTAACAATCACCCTGTATAAGTGGAGCCAACTTCCAACTGCTTGGGCTTTATGTACGGTAAAACCTGTTTTATTTTTGTGTTCTCAGGTGCATTCAAGGCGCGCAAAGATAAAACAGGGTTGATACATTGACAACATCCAAAGCAAACTGTGTACATTGTGGCTTTCAACTACTAACTGGCTAGCGAATTTCTGAAACGCTTTTTATAGGGTGCTTTCCACAATTTCCCACGTGAAATTGTTTGTTCAAAGCAGCCTATAAACTGGCCGTTTCAGCCACACGCCTTGTACTGAGTTTCGTCTCTTTCACCACCATCACCCAAAATCCCGCAGCTTTAGCCTAAGAATCAACACCGGTTTCTCCTGTTTGATTGCAGACAACGACGCTGATTGGTCTACTGAAAACCGCCCGTTTATTGCGATTGGTGCGAGTGGCCAGAAAAATCGACCGATACTCGGAATATGGAGCTGCGGTTCTTCTGTTGCTAATGGCCACTTTTGCTCTCATTGCCCATTGGTTGGCTTGCATTTGGTGAGCGAATTTACGCGTTATTGAAACCAGCTAATGCGGATTTTGGATTTAGGTATGCGATCGGAAATGCAGAACGGCCAAATCTTCATGCCAGAATCAGCTGGCTGGATATTCTGGCCAACGACACTCAACAGCCCTATCTGGCCAATGGAACTGGAGGACCCAGCATTAAAAGCCGCTATGTTACGGCCCTGTACTTCACATTTACATCCCTCACCAGTGTGGGGTTTGGAAATGTGGCTCCAAACACCGATGCTGAGAAGATTTTTACCATTTGCGTTATGCTGGTTGGATGTGCGTGTAATTCCGGGTTTTTTAATAGTTTTTTTTAACGAATTTGTAATTTTTTCAGCTTTGATGTATGCGAGCATATTCGGTAACGTTTCGGCGATCATTCAAAGACTCTATTCGGGTACTGCACGGTACCACACGCAAATGTTGCGCGTTCGAGAGTTCATCCGGTTCCATCAAATCCCCAACCCGCTCAGACAACGTTTGGAAGAATATTTCCAACATGCCTGGACTTACACCAATGGGATCGACATGAATTCGGTCTTGAAAGGATTTCCGGAATGTCTTCAGGCCGACATCTGCCTGCACTTGAACCGGAATTTGTTGCAGAATTGCGGAGTGTTTGAGGGCGCTAGTCCGGGATGTCTTCGGTGAGTTTCACTATTTTTTTTCGACTTCCATTCCATTAAACACCCGCCAGTCATTGAGCAGAAATCTGGATACGCGGCGAGAATCGATTTTTTATTAGATACTACGCGGAAATGCTGTTAATCGCTATCTGGCTGGTTGGTTTATAGGGCGTTTCACTAAAAATACTTTCAATGTCGCGCATTTCGGATTTTCAATTGAGTGGCAAATGCATTGAGTTGATGAACTGTTTAGGGCCCTGTCGCTGAAGTTTAAGACAACACATGCACCGCCTGGGGACACTTTGGTGCATCGGGGCGATGTGCTCACGTCGCTCTACTTCATATCCAGAGGCTCAATAGAAATCTTAAGGGATGACATTGTGATGGCTGTGTTGGGCAAGTTTGATATTTTTGGCGAGAATCCCTGTGTCCATCACACTATCGGTAAGTTGACACAAAATGCATAAAGTCGGTTTATTGAAATTTTCTCATTCTCATTTTCTCATTTCTCATTTCGCATTCTCTGTTACTCATTGAAATTCAACTGATTTTGAACATGTTTGAAAAATTCTAAGAATCAACTTGCGGGATTGTTTTGATAATACGGAATATTTCACAAATTCTCAAAATTAATTTATTTACAAACTTCTTGTTGGGTATTTTGCCTCAAAAATTTTTGTCTTTAAAAAAGACAGAATTTCCTCACGTCTTCTATTACAGATTGATAAATAG